TTCTCGAATAAAATATATTCAAGAACAAATGCTTAAGAATATATATACTTAAATTAGCGAAAGAGTATGAATCCACGTGAAGGACAGCCGCGCGCGAATTTCTTCCACTCGACAACATTCCTTATAAGCATATAATCCGAGATTTCCTACGATTATGTTGAATTGGCGCTATTCCCAATCTTCACTCCGCCCAAACTTTGACGCGCTCGATTCAATGAAGATTAATTAATTGAAATGCTCGTTGTCAAAATGTTCTTTTTTCATTAACCTTTTAAGCCCGTGACACACCGCCAAGCAGGTGTGATGTTGTCGTTTCCTGTTTTGCGTCGTACTAAAACAGATAAGCTCCAACCTCACTTAAAGTAATGTTTAGATCTCCAAGAGTGAAATACTGTGTATTAATGGTCAAACTGCATCAAAGAAACAGTACCACACATCGTCCTCCGAGGTTGAAGGACTTAACTACAGCTTCTCTCATATCCTGAGCGACCATCAAGGTAATACATATTTTCTACTACATCTTGTTTTTACTGCATCTATTTTCCTTTCATTCCTTTTTCCCTTTCCTTTTTTTCTTTTCTTTTTTCTTTTTTTCCTTTCTTTTGTTAAAAATAATTGGGTTAAATTTGGGTTAAATTATTTTACCACGTTTTTTTCGAATCAAATTCATTTTAAAAAGGAATAAAATTATTATGATACACTTCTTTTACCTTTTTCCTAGGATGTTTAATAATGATATATATTTATTAATGTGGCGCAAATTCAACATAGCGCTTTCAAATGCGCCGTTTTTCAAAATTTTTTGTCAAAAGATTTTTTTATTGTTGTGTTCAGCCGCCGTGGCAATTCACTAATTCGCGTATTTAAATTTGTCATCAGTGGCTTTGAGCGTTTTATAAGTTGCTTTGAGCGTTTTATTAAACCTGTAATCATCATTAGTTCAACACCATCAATATATTTAACGGATGGATTCTTTGGTTTTGTAGACGGTTCTTAAAACATTCAAAATTAAAGTAGAATTGCAAAATGTCATATAAACATATTTATATATTAAACACATTTAAAGCCTTAACTCCCTGTAAGAGGCTTTTCCGTGAAGTTCCTTCCACCGCACTACCACTATATTCTATATTTACAACATATAACACCCCCGGCTTCACATGTTGATTTTTACGGGGGGAGGAAACGAACAGAAACAACCCCTAGTTAGGGAGAATATGGACTTTGAGTTTTTTACTAACTATGCAAAAATATATCAATAATTCGGAGAAACCGTTACATTTAGTCGATTTGACCATAGTCAGTAGAAGGGTGCCCCTCTACTAAGTACGATTTGACTGGTATGTCTTATAAAGGCTGTGGGGTTAGCCGACAGTTCTAACTTTCATCGACACGTTTCATATGACTTAGTGAAGATTGCCAGATCGACTTCCCCCGGTTGGCAAGGACGTTTCGAGGAAGTTTCAAATAGATAGAGAGAATAAATAGAGAATATTATTCTAGCTTTTGGGAAGTAAATAGTAAGATCTTTCCTGTCTCTGTCGTCCGTTTTTTAATTTTTTTGATTTTYAAATTTTTTCACTATTGTCAATCTTAATAATTTATTCTTATTAATACTAATCGTCTTAGTGCAACCTCTATCGACGTCAGGTAATGAAATAAGGGCCAGGCTAAGCACCTCTAAGCCATCATCAGCTACATTAAACCCCGCTTGTATATGGCTACACACATTAGGATGATTGCCGTCTCTCTTTAAATAACCAATTTTACTTTAGACGCTTCTTGACAATAATTGTGAATTTGATCCTCTTTTAAAAAGTCTTCGATTAAGAAATGTTTCATCAATCAGTAATACAATCAGAATGGATCAGTTTGCCACTAATGGTTTGCGATGTTCCTCCATCCCTTCCATGTCTCCCGGTTATAGTCATTTGATCCCGTATCCTGCTCTGTATTCCTACTCAATGTTTTCTCAACGGTTCATAAATTTACTGAGATGGTACTAACGAAATACCTAATATTTCTTAGTTCCTAACTAATAATTCCCCAACCAACTTTATTTTCAGACGTCGCGGACATTAGGATTCTTTTTATTCAGTAGTAGACTCTAAACCCATTGTTTTCTTTTGTGTCTTATCAACTAGTACTTACTAAATAGTCATTTTTCTTTGACGGGTTAAATAAAATCACTCTACGAAGAGCCATATTAAACACATTCAGACGTAATTTAGCATGCTATCGTAAAAATATCTCGCAATTTCGTTATTTCAATTCTAATGGATTCTCTAAGTGTTTTCGGAGCACATAATGCAGTTGTCTGCGACGAAAGTCCAATATATACACATCGATGTGCGGCTTTTATTTTAAAAGCTTACTATTCTCCAAGGTACGGCTGGATTTTGTGTTATAGAGGCGACTATGATATTTCCGTTCACTGTGAGCGTCATTGGCCGTTGAACAAAGTAATTCAGCACTCGACACAAATATCAAAATAGCCGCTGAAAGAATGATAATGTTATTGTAATGAGTAATGTTTGCGGCACGTTCGCTTTGTGTTAATCGAAAAGCAGACGCAAATCTTAACGATTTTGGGGGGATTTTATATCGTTCATTGCGCTATTTGTTGTCAAAATGTGCTCGGTAAAGATCGCTTAACCTAATCAGTAAAACATGTAAAAGCTAAACGAATTAAAACATCGACGAATTGCAGCCCGAAAGCCGGTTATAAAAAGCCTTTCATATATTTCTCTATCTGTGTGTTACCGCGGTTCTCAATATGTGAATCAAAACACAAGTTAATCGTTTCCCACGTCGAAAGATAAAGACTCGTCGACCTTACTAAGGGTTTAAATCACGTGATTTGGACAAGAGATTTCGTAAAATCAAGGTTGGTGTAGCATGCAGTAGTGCACACATCTCTCTCACTTCAGTGGGGTCTCCGGTTCCATTACTGTACTCGGATCACATTTAAGTAGAGTTCGTAATATCTTTTTAGCAAATCAAGGTCCCTTTTCCATTGTCTTTACTGGTATTGAACCTGGAATGGCGTCAGCATATGATCCAAACTCAAGTGGAATCACGAGCGCAGTGAGTTTGGATTATATGCTGACGCCATTCCATGTTCGGTAAGAGTACAGACAATAGAAAAGGGAACTTGTTTTTTTTTTGTTTTTTTTTCTTTTACCACAAAAAACTTCACTAACACGCATTATTTCGACGTCTTTTAGTGATCAAAACAACCAACGGAAAGAGTGCGCGGCCRTTGAAGTCAGCTTATTGGTCTGCCCTCTTAATGATCATTAAAAATAGCCAATCAGCGCGCGAGAAATTAGTAATTGGTGGTAAAAACCTTGATTCAAGGATTCTTCTTGAGTGGGTCCACGAGGTGATGCATGTGCAACGTAGCGTCTTGTTCATGTTCTTTTTAGAAAAAATAGAAATGTGTTTAAATTTTTATCAATACCCTGAAAAAAACTATGGGCTTATCTAAGAAATGGCATGGTTAACTCACATATCGATCCTGAAATAATCTCTAGTCTGATCAAAATCAAGGCATGGCTAACTCACAGATAGAACCCTGAAATAATCTTTAGTCAGATCAAAGTTAAGGCATGACTAACTCACAGATCGAGCCCTGTAACAGCTTCTGGGCTGATTTAAGTCAAGGCATGGCTAACTTACAGATAGAACCCTGAAACAACCTCTAGGCTGATATAAGTCAAGGCATGCCTAACTCACAGAACAACCCTGAAACAACCTCTGGGCTGATATAAGTCAGGGCATGGCTAACTCACAGATCAAACCCTGAAGCAACCTCTGGGCTAATCTAAGTTAGGGCATGGCTAACTCACAGATAGAACCCTGAAACAGCCTCTGGGCTGATCTAAGTCAGGGCATGGCTAACTCACAGATCAAACCCTGAAACAGCCTCTGGGCTAATCTAAGTCAGGGCATGGCTAACTCACAGATCAAACCCTGAAACAACCTCTGGGCTGATCTAAGTCAGGGCACGGCTAACTCAAAGATCGAATTCGAATTTATATCGTGTTATGGGTTTTGCGGAGAAAGGAAAGCGAAGTACCTGGAGAAAACTCTCGACTGAATCAAGGGAGAGACTCAAAAAAACTCTGCTGATCGTGTTAGCAAGTCCAGGAATCAAACCTGAAGCCCCATGCAGAGGCCGGTGAACAGAGGCGAGTACATTATTTCCTAAGAATGTACGAAACTGCTGTAAGAGCGGTAATCAGTCTTATCTAAGTTAAGAAGCCGATGACATAGTCTTCTATGAATGAGCAAAAGTATATTTAAATGTGAGAATGTTCGAGACCCAATTATCGAGAATTCATTTGGCTGCTTTACCTCATCATCATCTGCAGATAAAGAAATCCGGTCTAAGGCTATAGTTTAGAGGAGATATCTGACTGAACATTATGGTTTCATACTAGCTAGATATATCCGCATCTGATAACAATCACAAACTCTTGCTGCATTAGAGAGCTTCTCTTTAATATCTTTGTGTAAAACGTTTGTTTCGACTATCCAATCGAGGAAGGGAAAAATCCTTTGCGTGATCTATCAACCATCTTCTTGGCTTTCAATCTTTTTACCAACTCGATTTTGTTATCATTAATTTTTTTGCGACTGCCAGTAATGTCACTAGATATTGGCTATATATATAATATGTTATATAGGAATATTATATAAGGGCTTTGAAGACTTTGCTTCACTTCAATACTGAGGCGCAAGGTACGAAACACGGTAAAACTGATTTGGCGCTGCAGAGGAAAAAGCAGAGAAGCGGAGGTAGGATTCGAACTGTTTTCACCAGCATTTATAAACGTCTTAGTAAATTATCTCTTATACTTTTCAACTAACTCTTTCTTGTTTTTGTTTCCTTGCCTACCTTGTTCTCATTGGTTTCTTTTGTCTTATTCTATCATATAAACACTCCTTTCTACCACCTCTTTCTCTTTTACTCCGACGAAGGACTAGCGTCCGAAACGTCAGCAAGTTTTTTCATCTTTTCACGGTGTATAATTTACCTTTTTATCATTACTCTTATACTTTTAGTTTGTTTATTTGTTTTACCAGGCTTAACGATATTAATTAGTTGGATTTTTGAATTAGTTTTTTCTTCTCAAAATAGTAACAATATAGTTTATATTATATTATTYATTAAGTACTAATAACAACGATGAAAATTGTACATGTACAACATGCTCTAGCATAATTTTGATTATGAAAAATGAAAATGAAAAATCAATTGTTATTTTCATATGAATATCCATAAAATACCTATATTCATCCTTTATAAAACTGGCATTTATTTTCACATGTTAAAATATCGTTAGAGTAACCACAGTAAATCCGTGAAACTTTAGTAATACTAAATAGCACAGTTTCATGCAAACTCCATTGTTTTCTATTGTTTAATTAGCACTATTTTGTACTATTTAGTAATTAGTGTTTCATGGATTAATTGTTTGCACTCTACCAT